GGTGTGTCTATGTGTGGGGGTCGGTGTGTGTGTGTGGGTGTGTTTAACCGGAAATTCATAACTCCTTTTCCCGTGGACCTGGAGCGTTCAAACTTGGTAGCAGCACAGCCGACAGACAGGATTACATATGGTGGGTGGCAGAACCGGACTCCGCCTACAAGGGGCGAGGTTTGTGTGAGGCCCACCTACAAGGGACGAGGTTTGCGCGGAAAGTTGTTAATTTAGACCTAGAGCGCTCAGATTAGGGAGATTTTAGGTGGAGCACTCGTGGCAGAGACTAAGGCAGGTCCGTTTAAGGCGAACGGGGCTCACGGAGAGTGTCGAGTGTTTATGTTTTTGGGCGGGAATGAATAACTCTTGTTTCCATTCACCAAGGCCACCGAATATGAAAAGGGCGCAGGCGGGGAGTCGATTTTAATACGAGAAGGAAGGAGAAGGGCAGGACATTCTATGTGAATAGGGATTTCGAGCCTTTTGTTTTCTTTTGTTAGCTTTTCTAACCATACAGATAATTCAGATCCCCTAACTGCGTATAGCATTGTACTGATTAGTGAAAAATAACGGAATGGATGATAAGTAATCAATAATTGATCGGTCACTCACTAAGGATCTGTGTTGATACCGTTTTCATCTGCATCGATAATGGAGTTGGTTGAATCATTTCGTTTCAGGTGCTCCGTTAGATCGAAGCCGATTTGAGAATTACGGAATATAGCCACGCCCACATTCTTTTCAAAGGCATTTCTGGAAATAAATGCTTTACTGCCATGTGGCGGTAAGAGACAGCACTATCTGTTCTTGCCTCCATCCCCCACTCCCCTATTCTCCAATAGGCTTATTTCAATTGCATTTAACTTACAAGATAATCTCGTAGTATCCCATGATTGCTTCGAGGTTGGCCACTCCATCTGTATTCCATTTACTCTTGAAGCCCACCATCAGAATATTTGGTCGCATTTTGCCGATACCTGACGTCTATAAATGAATGAAGAAACTTCTAAAAATCTGGATGCGATGAACACAAACCTGCAGAAGTGTTGCTGCTCCTTCCACCTGGTTCTCATTGGCAACGGTAGCTGGAAAAGCGGAAACGTGACGATTCGCAAACCATTCAGTCATCTGCTTATCCACTTTGTCCGTCATCAAATAAGTGCGACTGCTTACAGGTTGCTGAAACGCATACTCATGAAATGAAGTGAATGGAATAGGTGATAAAACGCGCGACGCGACCGCACGCAGCAGCACTTACCTTGCACAGCTCACCCAAAGAAGGGCGTGAGTTTTCTGAAAGGCACAGTTCACGATAATTCGAGAGGCGGGAAAGCCCCGCTATTTCGCCCCCGATTGATGTCCCGTCAGACGAGTGCCGAGACAATACCGACTGCAACTATTCGTTCTAGGACCCACACACAGTCAGCTGATCGCCGAGTGATGAGGCGATGTTTTTTCCCATCTTTTTTCCTCTATTATTCTTTTTGCTGGCGCGATCCATTACTTACTTTCCTACTCCTTGAAGCTTGAGAAGGTGAGCTACTTTTGCTGCTACTGGGGTTTTTTTCTTTACTCATGCTTATAAGTGAATGAATTTTGCTTGACATAGTCTGCTATTCGCACCAGGATCCACACGTGCGCAAAGAGACACATCGTATAGCTCGACCAAACGCCCCACTCTTCTTGATTTTTCTGGTATCATTCTCGTCCAGCCCCCTTTTGAACGGTCTTTTGAAGCCTTTTTTCTCTTTGGGAACACCGAATCGCGCAGTTTCTTACCTTCATCGCACTTTTTTTGATCTTGTCTTCCATTTTTCATCCTAATCTGGATTACCCAAAATTATCGTGAACTGTGCCTTTAAACATTCCTAAAAACTGTGTTGTCTACTTATAGAGAATAACGTACCGGAATCACAAAACCACAGATGAGTAACGAACGGCCCATGATTATGTTGTTAGCGAAATCGACGAGAGCCGGTCGAGCAGCAGGATTTCCAGTGAGGAGCAACATCTATAATATGAACATCCATTATAAAACAAGCAGAAGATGAGTGTAGCCGAAATGTACAGAAAGTTGGACTTCCGTTCAAAATCTATTTAAGCTTTGGATACAAATATGGGATTTAAGGTACAACCTGAGGTTTATAGCACAGATCTGTTTCTCGTGCCATATTTTGTAGTCCGCTCAGGGTATTAATAAATGACGATCCAACCAGCTTTTGCCCTCCTTTCGGTTCTGAAGTACTTATACGACATATTGAAAAAGGTCAAATTAGGAAGCTGGATTATTCGAATGAGAATGGTTGGAAACAGAGATCGGAGAACTCACGCGACTGCTTCCATTTGATATAGATGTAAAATTTGAGGAAGGTTAAAATTGCTGCGTTTGTGAGCTTCCAGCTAACAGCAAGCATAATATGAACACAGAGTAACGAACATATCAACGCTAACCACCGATTGAACCACCGATACATAGGCTTCTCAGCTGCAAAAATGTCAATTTTTCGAAAACGACTCAACGACTCCAGTAGAATCAGGATAAACGGCACATTTGTGCTGTAGAGTTACGTGATAGTCAGACCGGATGTGGGCTGGCTTCAGCTCAGCCCATCGCGCGTGGCGAAAGGAATAACGAATAATATACCCAAAAGGAAGTAGTGTATCTTCTGCAATCTTCTCCTCCGAAGGTACTTCTGCGGCACTCCAAGACGCTTCAGGTAAAGGTATACAGAGCTCTGGCGGAGCCTTCGATCCGCTATAGCAGAGAGTGGTGGTCGGTAGATACGAACCATCAAACTACATCCAGCAAGAATGGGAATGATGGAATGAGCCTCCATATATCTGGCCAAGACTGAAGCCTTCAGGACGGTCACACAAGCAACATCTTTCCAGGCAAGAAAGCAGCACGTGCGATGATACAACCCTATACTGCGAAGTGAGATCTCACAATGAGGGAAGAAATACTTTCCGTAACTCAGTAGAAGGAAATGCTTGCATACTCAAAAAGCAGGTGATGATACAGGATCCTGGAGAACACCGCCGGAACCGAGGTAGCGGCAGATGATGCTGTAGGTGAAAGGAATTGGCATGATCAACAAGAGCTGCAGAGCGTCTCAGCTACTACGCGGACGTAATGTTAGGGAGAAGAAGAAGTGAGGTATGACTGGAACATTAGTTACCCATATGTCCAAACACGATGGTTCCAAAATAAACCGCAGCT